AATAATTAATTGGGCGGTGATAACCATACAACCAACATACACCAAATACTCTTATACGAAAGTGCTATAATTTTAAGGGAGAGTAACAATAGCGAGCTTCAAACAGTTTACTCCTTGAGTAAAAGCACAACAGTGCTGTTTTGTCAGCTTATATAATAACTGATTTTAATCATCCACCACGGTAGGACTAAATCATTATCCGGCTTGAACAATTTTTTTTTTCAGCATAGATGATTGTTATTTGTTTCATTCACCAAGAGGTTGGACTGAATAATTAGCTATTGAAAGCATTTTGAACTGCAGGAGAGAAAACAAAAAGAGCAAAACGGACGTGGGCGTGGATCATGGGAACTGGCACTCTTAATTAAAGGTGGATTTCCCTAGATCCGTGGTCGCAGTTAGTTGAAAACATCAATTGGTTTTACAGTTTGTTAATGTTCGGGGCAGTCACCGTACATCAGGTTCGGTGATAGAAGTTCGAAATTGAGGCGGTGTTCTGTTACATGTGTTTTACCTATCGAACTACTCTCTTCCCTAGTCTATTGTCTATTTTAAAGAAACTCCAGACATCACCTAATTCTGAGGTTATATTCTAGAGGGTGATGTACTCTTGTACACCAGACATCACCTTACTCTAAGTGTTATATATTAGAGGGTGGTGCACTCTTCTACACCAGACATCACCTAATTCTGGGTTATATTCTAGAGGGTGATGTACTCTTGTACACCAGACATCACCTTACTCTAAGAGTTATATTCTAGAAGGTGGTTCATTGTTGTACTATTGTCTATTTATAGAAACTTCAAATATCACCTCTAAGGATCATCTAGATGGCAGACGGCACCTTAACGCTTGGTTTTGTCTTTGGTTTTCTTCTAAAGCAAACACTGACTTCCTGATTTTTAAAGCAAGGTAACATTTCTTCAAGATTGAAAGCTCTGTGGTCGACATCACGATATTCATTATTTCAGATTTGTTAAGCAACTCAGCAACAATTTCACTATAAATGTCATGTCTAGCACGAGGCCTATCTTCACAATGTCAAGCTATCTTGACAGCAATAGCCACTATTCTTGTATCACGGAATGAAGCGATTTGATTGGATTATACGCCATCCAATACAGCCAATCAGAGCCCTGAAGACTATCAACATTTTAGCTTGTGTTCACAGACTTTCTGTCGGAGCCCCTGATTGGTTGTATTCGCAAGCTTATAATCCAATCAAATCAAACCTAAATTCTTACCCACAGCAAGCAAATTTAGTATCTATCAGGAACACAGCGACCCCTATCTACTTGGGTTTCACAGAATTTATAAAACTTGTGATTTGTCAAAGAAACGTCTTGAGGTTGCTGATATATTGACAAATAAGAATATGAATTTTTACACTAAGCACTCCTCCACAATTAACTGTAGAGGAAGGACAAGGCAATAAGTGCATTTAAACAAAAATAAAACCCATTTTTAAAAATAACGGAACGAATAAACTAAAAAGTGACAACGCAAAATATAAATGTCATGTTCATCACGAGGTCTATCTTCACAATGTCAAGCTATCTTGACGGCAATAGCCACCATTCTTGTATCACGGAATGAAGCGATTTGATTGGATTGTACGCCAATGTGACTGAACCACATTCAGATAACGATGCCTTGTGGTAGAATTTGACCTTGGTCGAAACTTGTATTATCCATAAGGGTAAGAATGATCTGACCCCGGCCCTGAACACATACACACACCATACGAAACTACGTATGGTTCTTACATAGAAATCTCACACGCCTAAGAGATCTTGAAAATAGGCAAAACAGTGCTTCACATACTTTACTTCAATTATTGCTCTATACTCATTCCCTATAGCCCAGTCATCATTTCCTCTTGTCCGGTAAGAGTAAGTAAGCTATTGCAAAATAATTAGTAAGTGTAAAATTCTGAAGTTCAAAACATGTTCAATCAAGATAAAGGCTCAGTCCTACTCAGTTCTGGATTTCCCTGAAAAAAAAAAACCCAAGAGTGCCATCAACTATATTTTACAAGGAAAACTACTTAGTTTCATCCCACTCAAAATCCTTTCTACCAGCCTGTACTTGATCAAACCTCTTAGCATTATTGGTACCCATCTACATCTGGCTCGCCTGGAATTATTGGGTAATTACTAAGCAGATTGGTAAGAGTCAGTATGTCTCGCCTTACTAATCTTACTCATACTTAATGGTATAATTGCCTGATATGGTTGGCATCAGCTTTCAAGATCGAATTACTCGTTAAGCATTTACTAAGTATTTGGTAAGTGTCAATATTTCCCGCCTAGCTAATCTTTCTACACCCATGGATAGCTTAACACTTTATAGTACTCTAGTATTGTTCTATACTTTATTGTAATTGCCGCAAATGGTTGGCCTCTTTTGTCACCAGCTTTCAGCCAGAAAGAGTAAGCATTTCATAATCGAATTACTTTGAGTAATTACTAAGTATTTGGTAAGAGTCAATTTGTCCTGCCTAGCTAATCTTTCTACGCCCATCATGTGATAAGACATGACACTCCTATCAGATGATAGATATCAAGACGCTGTAATAAACAATACATGTTTTGTTGTCGCCATGTTTTATACGACTATAAACTATATAATATAAAGCTATAAAATATGGTGAAGGTATATCATTCTACAGCCCCGGGGCCATTTTAATATTATATACCATAGGTAACTAAGTAGGGACATTTCTATGAACTCAAAGTAATCTGATTACCACGAGCCACTGACCCCCCTCCAATCCCCCCCCCCCCCCCCCTCCCCGTCGTAAAACAATATCTTTATATAAATGGGGAAATCTGCTTTAATAACTCAAACTCGAACCCCACCCCACCCTCACCTCTCTCACTATATCAGCAGCAGGGCATGTCGAGAAAGAACTATCCATATACAATCTAGTCCTTTGTCAAACCTATTGTCAAGGAAATTACGAGGATAACGACTTCGGATCTCCAAGAACCCGTCTATCAACTGGCCCTTCACCAAACCTCTTGACATTGACTTTAAAGGAATATCAAGATAGGATTTAAAGAATCCTATTTGACAGCTTATTCTTCGACATACCTCTTTTCAAGGATTAAAAAAAGTAAACAGCCTGGGATTTAGAAGATCCCGCCTACAAGCTGGTCCTTCGGCAAACCTCTTGGTAACATAATGACGTCATAAGATCGTGAGCGCTCTAACCGTCTGAGCAACACCCTGTCTAATGTAAGTATTATATTATACTAGTAGTTGATAATATTCGAGAAGAAGTAAGGTTGGTGACAGCGCAACTGAATGGCTTCAGGCTGATTAATACACTCACCGTTTCAAGTTGACAAGCAAGTCAGAGAATGATTTGTGAGCTTGTCGCCTTGCCTTCAGGATATATTTACTGAATTAAAAAACAAGCTGTAATACTTTAACTCTCTCATAAAAATCAACATTTTCTTTGCCAAGTTCCTTTTTATCGAGTGAAACCCGAATTCATTTGGTAAATGCAGTAGTTAAAACGATATCACAAGAGAACAACTAAAAGGGGTGATAATAAACGTTCATAAAAAACGATGATAAAAAGCAATATCACAGTGCTACCAATAAACCACAAACGTCTGCTAGGCGATAGGGTGCCGTGGGTTCGAATCTTCCTCAAGGTAAAACTTTGCCAGTACTTTCGAGAGTCGGCCCGGCGTCGGCTCTCACCCCTAATAGTAATGCCACAGTGTGGCAAACAATGATAAAGACAATATCTTTTTTAAAATTTAAGGTCAAGAAAGTTCTGTTAAAAAAAAAAACGGTAATCTTCTCGTAAAGAGATAGTTGCTCAAAATAGCTGATACATCGACGCTGTGTCGGTATCGTGGTCTCAAAGGCTTGATATACTGTCACTTAATCAGTATATGGACTGGTTGAACCAAGTCCACGGGCCCTCGCCTATGGGGGACCCACTTTCATAAAAAAAAATACATAATTAAAAAAATATATACCAAAGAATACAATTATAATCAAACTAAGCAGCCAGCAATATATAAATGAGTGAAATAGCATTAAAGGGACGACTGTACCATTATTTTTGACAAATCATACTTTAGTCTCACAAGCGGGATTTATTTTTAGCTACACCAATCAGTAATAGTGTTCACAGCTCACCAAAGAAAATTTGAGCCCTCAAATTCAGATGTGTCCAGAATTATCTGCGTTTGAATGTTACTGAAAGATACTGAACGATACTCTGTGATATAGAAAAGACATATATAGAAATTGTGGGTAAAATTACTAGTTTGAGATATTTTTGAAAGAATTATGCGATTTTAGTACATTTCTATAGTACTTCTGAAGATTCTTTACATATTTTCAAGACCCAAATCAACCCCCAAAAATGGTACACTTGTCCCTTTAACTACCGACTAAAAATCTTTAAATCTGCAATTATGAACACGAATTAAATTGACTTACAGACGGGTCTTAGAATGCATGACAGCATATTAAAAATATGAGAGGGGCCCAATCTCACTTACGTCAACAGGCCCACACTTTTTTAGTGTGCGGATTTGACAGTGACCACAGATTGGTTGAGGCTTTCGCTTGAGCAGAACAAGGAAGTGTGGGAACTATTAGTTAAAACATGTACAAGGGAAATAACTGTTAAATAAAATTTAATTCAGACCACAGTTAACTTACACCCGTTGAATTTGGCGTGTTTATCAATTACGATACAAGAGTGTTCAAAAGAAAATATGACGGTAATTGGTGACCAGAATATTCAAGTCATCGGATTAGTTTCAACTATATCCACATCAACATGCGACCGATTAAACTCGAAACCTTCAATTTATTTTGCGAAAATTGAGTTTGATTCGGGCCAAACACAGGCAAAAAAGGATCAACAAAGTGTATTTTTCGTAAAAATTGAATTTATCAATATCAATAAAACATAAGTTGAGAAACAAAGAAATGAGAGATTTAATAGAAGAAATTATGCTGTTGTTCAGGATTTCGAGAATCTATCACAGAATTCTGGTAAAGTCATCACAACACCAACTCCATTTCCTTTCTCCATATTAATAAATTCTTGTATATTATTACTGCATTCTGTAAATAGAATGTGTTACACTTCACAATTTCAAGCTGGCACGGACTATGTGCGTGTAATATTGTCTTTATTGGGCTCTTTTGTTTTATCATTGAACGCAGCTACGGAAATTTGTAAATGCAACGATTTGATTGGATTTGATTGGATTGTACCGAACATAGCCAAATAGAGCCATCAACACAAAGACTGTATATAGCAAACCTTATGATCTACGGACATATCGGTAGTATTGGAGAGGGGATAAAGGACAGTTGAAGGCAGGGGTGGGGGGAGGGGGATACATGGAACTAACCTGAAGTTTGGATACAGGGATATTTTGGAGGAGGTGACTGATAGTCTCCAGTTTCTTCGTCTATCATGTGAGATCGGTCGGAGGCGAATGTTTCAAGATATTCTCTAGCCTTTATCACTCTGAATAATCTGCAAATACAGTGTGGCAAATACATGTACGTAAAATTTCATTAAAAACTTAATATTATTTCATTCGTCTGGACAGGATAAAATGATTTTTTACGTTTTTGCTGCTTATTGTACCACTAAGAGAAAAGCATGACGAGCTTTTTCACAATGCCTAATAATTTTAAGATCATCATATGTTTCAATTTCGTGTGAGCAGCATAAAATATTTAAACGGAGTTGAAACACACAGTATTTAGATACCTTTTAAAATCATTATTGAAACGATCTTCGTTTGTAATGGCAGAATCTATGTATTCCGAGATAGAACAAGGGAACGGTAAAGTGGTGTCAAGGTCGTATATCACAGGTTCAGGGTCACCTTTATATATGAATATTACATGGTAGTCCTGGAAAGATAGAAGCAAAATCACCCTGAGTATCATAAGATACCACCGAGTAATAACGTAGCCTTATCAACTTTAAACTCTTGAAAACTTTACTGAATTTAAGTCCCAATGTGTGAAGTACGACTGTGGCGGTTGTCTCAGTCAGGGAAGGGCAACCCCACTCTTCCAGAATATATGATGCAAAACAACTTGGCATCATTTATGGAGAGTCTATACAATAATGTTTGTCAGGTATTTTCATTGTTATATCTCATGTAACTAAAAGACATTGTTGTATCTCAAAGTACATTTTAAGAACGTTTAGTATACTCTCTGTACTTAATATACCAAGCTGGCGAAGGGATTCGACAATATTTTGAAAATGTTTACAAGTTTCTTACCCAAATAACTCTTTTATCAGATCTCTTTGAACTCTTTTGACACCACAATGGGATCTTAAATAATAAAAATATAATTCATTTGCACTAATGGGCAAAATCTTGCTGACTTGCATAATGATACGAAGACAGTTAAAAGCACAATTTGTCTGATTTAATAGCGACCTTTATTTTATCACAAAAGTTTGTTAACGCAGCGATTTCATTAGACTGTACGTTAGCGGATAGAGCCAATTAGAGGTCTCGACAGAAGGTTTTAAATACTAAGCTATCATGTTTATCTGTCTGTCTGTCAGGGGCTCTGATTGGCTATATTCGCTTGCGTATAATTCAATCAAATCGCTGCAATCTGGAATACAAGAAACGTGGCCATTACAGTCAAGGTATAAGTTCGTTATAGCTGGACATTGAGAAGATGGCGAATCCTCAAGATTATACAGCAGCAGCTAACCTGTTTCTCATAGAGTTTGTTATTCTATTCATGGAAGAAGATAATTAATATTTACCATTCTCTTAAGGTTCGAAATAAATACACAATAACATTTGGGTAGTATCCCTGGATGCATCTGACGTGTTTTATCACATAATTTCCATATATTTTCTTCACTAAAACGTTTAAAAAAGCATGCATAGAAGATGTACAGAGGTTTAGTTGTGGAGGTTTCAAGTGTTGAACTCCAATGGTTATAATAATATTATTTTTGAGTCAGTTATATCAATATTCCACATATTTTTCTTGTTGGAGAAACCATGGCTCAATCAACAGGCTCTGATACTGATACAGTATATTATATGTCAGAGTTTGTGTATGTTTGTGTGTTTGTCTTTTCAACTAAAAGCAACTAATGACTAACTAATTTTCACATTATTAATAAGCTTATCTATTGCTCTATGACCTAGGCCAGTGTTTTCATTGAGACTTGTCTCAATACACCCTAACACTGATATTGATACATAATTTCAAGCGTCAATTCATCAAAATCATCTGTAGACGTAGCAGATAGGGTAGAGGTATCTCGGACTAATATCTAGCAGTGATCTCTAATTAAAAGAGGGAAGAAAATTGAAAAGAATTTACCAATAACAAGTCGTGTAGACACAATCAGGCTTTTCAACTAGCCTACCAAGCTTTTCCTCAGTCAAATTCATATCAAATATATCTCATTTTTCTTCAAAATTCAATCAAATATGGTCTTTATTCAAAAATAATTATTTCACAATCGCGTCTACTTTCAGTTCATAACAGCTCTCTGATTTTGAAAACCAATTTTAGTCTATACTAGTAAATATTGCCCTTTGAGCAGGCAAAGATATTTCATTTTTCTGGGGGATAATTTCATATTTGAGTTATATCACAACATGGCGAGTCTTAAAAAATTAGGGAACATCAAACTGGAACAATCGGTATTCTTCCTATGTGACATGCAAGAGAGATTTCGCCCTGCAATCAAATCTTTTACTGAAATCACAGAAGTAGCAAAGCGACTGGTAAGTTTGAGTCTATATAACACAGGGACTTGTAAAAGATTTAGAAATGGGAATAAATAGTTCGAACGTTCTTTAAAAAACTTCCATTTCAAAGTTATAGTATTACAGCCATATAATCGTCTTATTTTTGGTTAAATCATGTCATAGAAATGATCTTCTGTTTCAAATTGTGGACGAACGCTATTAAGGTTGTAGGCTAAAGCCCGTTAATATTTCCTGAAAAGAGATACGGATACCTCGATCAGCCGTGTAAGCTGATAAAACAACAGTGCACTATTTTTGGAATGTTATCAGTCATTTCATTATTTTTTTTCAGATTGAAGGAAGTAAAATATTAAATATACCATTAATTGTGACAGAACAGGCAAGATTCTTGGTTTTTTATTTATTAAAAAAAATCATAAAGGATTCTAACATAGTTAGTTCAAAGAAAACATCCTTCCAATGACTGACTCGACTGATGTCAAAAATGTTCTCCTACGTAAATGCATTGCCACTGAATATAGAATATAGTATTGGAAAGAGATCATGTTACGTTGTGCATGTTTCGGATATACTACTCATCTTCGTGACAACCTTCGTCCAATCAGGTGCAGATAAATGAAACTTAAAATTCCATTCTTTTCATTTCACCAATATCAAGTAACTTGTAGGACCCTCCCCTTTAAGCGATATTGCTTTTTTTGCACTACACTAACATACTTTTCTCCCCATTTTTCATATATAGTCTTAATATTAGTCAACATTTGTTACAGTATCCCAAAGGTCTGGGTAACACCGTCTCCGAGTTAGATGTCAGCCATGCCACGAAAATTATTCCTAAAACAAAATTTAGTATGGTATTACCGGAAGTTGAAGATACACTTTTGACTCTGTGCAATGGTTGTACAAAACACGTGGTTTTATTTGGGATTGAGGTGAGGTTTCAGACAGCGATTCTATAATGATTTTCTCGAATCGTAATTTTGATGATTTTGATGTTATAATTATCTGATTGGTCAATTACTGACACTTAATTAAATTCACTTTCACCAATTTATCTAATTAGTAATCATCAGTCATTTTCTGTCGAAAACACGGGTTGCGCCTCACGGCATACAAGGCGCCCCAATTTAATTGCCTTTTACTGCATGCAAGGAGAGAATGTGCACCTTTCCACAACTTTCAGGTCAATGTGGGGTTAAAAAAATTGTCATATCCTAACAGACACATGGCAAACAAGGTACCACCAAATTAATCACTCTTTACGACAAGCAATGAGGGAATGTGGACCTTTTTCTTAATCAATGGCGGGGAATAATCGTTATAAGACTGGTGGATACGGTAATATGATGTTCCTGCATCGATAATGTTATTATTTATCTTATAGACTCATGTATGTATCCAACAGACAGTGATAGATCTGCTGGCTAAAGATTATGAAGTACATGTTATTGCTGATGCCTGTTCTTCTAGGAGTCAAATGGATAGAATGTTTGCCTTAGAGGTAAGAGAGGGAGCCGCGGTGGCTAAGTTAGTTAGACGCTAGCTTGCTAACCTGAAGGTCCAGGTTTCAATCCCGGCATAATCCCGGGATAATACCTTCGGATTTTATAACCTGGTTTCCCCCTGTCAGTGATACATGTAAGAGGTGACTAACATGGAAACAGCGTCTAACCGTTTGGATGGGACAATAAACCGAGCACAGGTGTGCTACAGATCCCTTGACTTTTGGAAATCGAAAAAGAGTAGGGAAATATTTCCCTCATTGAACACTGCATGATGCTGCCTATCTTCGGATGTAAAACTCCATTTCATTTCATTCATAATGATATTTAAACCATAGAAATACATAGAGACATGACATGTTTATCTCCCTTTGTTAACTCCTGCCAGTACAGAAAATTTAGAGGTGACATTACATTTTCACATAATCGAATTCTGCTTTTTCAGAGATTTCGGCACATGGGAGCTACTGTAACAACAAGCGAAGCTATTTTATTACAGCTCGTAGGTGATAAAGATCATGCTAATTTCAAAGCTATACAAGCTATTATTAAAACGAGTGCCCCAGAATCAGGTTTAGTGGCACAGTTATAGTAAATATAGAAATAGTATTAAAACAGAACCTGAAACATAGTGTTACTCTGTATTACTCAGAGTTTCATGTTGTGTGTTGTCCGAAACTCCGAGTAACAACATGTTTCAGGTTCTGTTGTGTTCTATTTTGATATTTCTGTTTCGTTGTTCGATCATTGATGTATTGAGTAATATTTTAACAGTGAAAACATTTTGTTATTATCATGTTTCATATATGTTTGTCAATATTTTGTAAATTCTGTACGAATATTGTGTGAATATACAAAGACTTTGTAAATTATTGCATATATTTTATATGTCATGATTTTGTATATAACATTTTTTGATTGTTATAGCATTATGTTTTGTACAAGCAAATGCAATAAATTTACTTGCAATAATATGTAGAGGACATGAAAAATAGCTTACGTAGTTTTTCAAGTCACAGACCAGGTATCAAATTAACGAAAGCCAGGCCTTAGAATCATCCCCTAGTAATCTTAACTTGTACATTTGGGAGAATCAAACCTTCCCTTCCACTAGACCTGAATCACAATATAAAATTTGTCTTGCCAGAAGAGTAATCTACGGAACGTTTACAAGATTTTTTTTTCCTGCATATTTGCCATTGGTAAGAACCCAGACCAAAAGATGACTATAAGCCACATCAGATTAGCATTCAATGTTATATTGACTTGGTATGTGAATAGAATATTTTGTGGGGGTATATTTGGAAGATCAGGGAAAGTGTTTATTTATTCTTGACTATGCAGTGGTAATTAATTGTCTTACATCGTATCTCGAATACTGGTTTTGATACGGTCTCAGGAAGTATAACGAATGGTGTGTAGATTGGATACAATGGGGTTCTTATGTCTTATATATAGATTCGCTGTGATTAAATTTAATCGATACATAGATCTAATATCGGTTATACGAATACTTATAGTAAATAATAATACACCATAATAAAATAATCATCTTATATACACTGCTGAAACATCCAGTCAATATGACTACTCTGTTGGTACTAACAATAAATAGTACCTAAAATATACTATCTTTAAAAATTTGAAATACTGTAACAAATAAAATGTGAATAAAACATTATGGCAAAAATTGGGGCTCACCGGGTTTGTTAAAAAACATCTTATTTTGCTCTTGACTTAATAAAGCATGTTGACCCCTATTCACTGAACAATGTAATGGCAATGACTTAACATTTTCTTGTTGACCTTTCGGTGGTCTAAATATATTGGTTCTTTTTGTCACATTTCGTGTGGCTGTTAGCTTTTACATTCCGATTTTTTCTGAAGATTTTGACAGTGAGAATCTGCATATTGGTTCTTCAGGTGAAGATGTGGAAAGTCAACACCTAGTTACGCTAAATACACTGTATGCTGGGCTCAAATGAAACATAGTATTGTCAAGTTATCCACAGTTGGACCATGTTTAATAAAAAACATCTTTCATTTTGGTCTTTAGATGGTATTTGACTGTAAACATGCATCCAGAATTCTGTGGGGGACATCTTTCACGAAATTCATAAATCCAGTAACTGAAAACAAGATAATATACAATTTTGTTTTAAATAGGATATAAACGTGTTAAAATTTAGCTAATAGAGCTACAGCTAGTAGAGCTACAGCTAGTTGAGCTACAGATAGTAGAGCTACAGCTAGTAGAGCTACAGCTAGTAGAGCTACAGCTAATAGAGCTACAGCTATTGGAGCTACAGCTAATAGAGCTATAGATAGAGCTACAGCTAATAGAGCTACAGCTAGTAGAGCTACAGCTAATAGAGCTACAGCTAATAGAGCTACAGCTAGTAGAGCTACAGCTAGTAGAGCTACAGCTAGTAGAGCTAGAGCTAGTAGAGCTACAGCTAATAGAGCTACAGCTAGTGGAGCTACAGCTAGTGGAGCTACAGATAGTAGAGCTACAGATAGTAGAGCTACAGCTAGTAGAGCTACAGCTAATAGAGCTACAACTAGTGGAGCTACAGCTAATAGAGCTACAGCTAACAGAGCTACAGCTAATAGAGCTACAGCTAGTGGAGCTACAGCTAATAGAGCTACAGCTAATAGAGCTACAGCTAATAGAGCTACAGCTAATAGAGCTACAGCTAGTGGAGCTACAGCTAATAGAGCTACAGCTAGTGGAGCTACAGCTAATAGAGCTACAGCTAACAGAGCTACAGATAGTAGAGCTACAGCTAACAGAGCTACAGCTAGTAGAGCTACAGCTAATAGAGCTACAGCTAGTAGAGCTACAGCTAATAGAGCTATAGATAGAGCTACAGCTAATAGAGCTACAGCTAGTAGAGCTACAGCTAACAGAGCTACAGCTAACAGAGCTGCAGCTAATAGAGCTACAGCTAACAGAGCTACAGCTGGTAGAGCTACAGATAGAGCTACAGCTAATAGAGCTACAGCTAGTAGAGCTACATCTAATAGAGCTACAGCTAATAGAGCTACAGCTAGTAGAGCTACGGCTAACAGAGCTACAGCTAACAGAGCTACAGCTAACAGAGCTGCAGCTAATAGAGCTACAGCTAACAGAGCTACAGCTGGTAGAGCTACAGAGTAGAGCTACAGCTAATAGAGCTACAGCTAGTAGAGCTACAGCTAATAGAGCTATAGATAGAGCTACAGCTAATAGAGCTACAGCTAGTAGAGCTACGGCTAACAGAGCTACAGCTAACAGAGCTACAGCTAACAGAGCTGCAGCTAATAGAGCTACAGCTAACAGAGCTGCAGCTAATAGAGCTACAGCTAACAGAGCTACAGCTGGTAGAGCTACAGCTAATAGAGCTACAGCTAGTAGAGCTACAGCTAATAGAGCTACAGCTAATAGAGCTACAGATAATAGAGCTATAGCTAATAGAGCTACAGCTAGTAGAGCTACAGCTAGTAGAGCTACAGCTAGTAGAGCTAGAGATGGTAGAGCTACAGGTAGTAGAGCTACAGCTAGTAGAGCTACAGCTAGTAGAGCTACAGCTAGTAGAGCTACAGCTAATAGAGCTACAGCTAGTAGAGCTAGAGCTGGTAGAGCTAGAGCTGGTAGAGCTACAGCTAGTAGAGCTACAGCTAATAGAGCTACAGCTAATAGAGCTACAGCTAATAGAGCTACAGCTAATAGAGCTACAGCTAATAGAGCTACAGCTAATAGAGCTACAGCTAATAGAGCTACAGCTAATAGAGCTACAGCTGATAGAGCTACAGCTAATAGAGCTACAGCTAATAGAGCTACAGCTAATAGAGCTAGAGCTGGTAGAGCTACAGCTAGTAGAGCTACAACTAATAGAGCTACAGCTAACAGAGCTACAGCTAATAGAGCTAGAGCTGGTAGAGCTACAGCTAGTAGAGCTACAGCTAATAGAGCTACAGCTAATAGAGCTACAGCTAATAGAACTAGAGCTGGTAGAGCTACAGCTAATAGAGCTACAGCTAATAGAGCTACAGCTAGTAGAGCTACAGCTAATAGAGCTACAGCTAATAGAGCTACAGCTAATAGAGCTACAGCTAATAGAGCTACAGCTAACAGAGCTACAGCTAATAGAGCTACAGCTAGTGGAGCTACAGCTAGTAGAGCTACAGCTAGTGGAGCTACAGCTAATAGAGCTACAGCTAATAGAGCTACAGCTAATAGAGCTACAGCTAGTGGAGCTACAGCTAATAGAGCTACAGCTAGTAGAGCTACAGCTAAGAGAGCTACAGCTAGTAGAGCTACAGCTAGTAGAGCTACAGCTAGTGGAGCTACAGATAGTAGAGCTACAGATAGTAGAGCTACAGCTAATAGAGCTACAGCTAATAGAGCTACAGCTAGTAGAGCTACAGCTAATAGAGCTACAGCTAGTAGAGCTACAGCTAATAGAGCTACAGCTAATAGAGCTACAGCTAGTAGAGCTTTTTAAGGCTAACTTTTTAGAATTAAAATTTCACATCGAAATGACACTCTCGACTGTAACTGCTGACTGTTGGTAGGACTCTGGATAAACGGTCTTGTTGAATTGAAAAAAAACCGCATTACAGATTCTAAAAATTCATACAGATAGCTCCAAAAATAGACGAATATGTCGGTTATATCTTTTGGTAAGGTCACGTGTTTACAAATATCGGCCTGTTAGGGTAGCGTAAATCATCGGGATTTATTAGATTGCAATCGTATCTTTTTTGTCTCCATTGTATTCTAAGAAGTTTCTACCAAAAGCGTGTCCCAAAGGTAGTATTTTAACAAATCAAAGCGTGATCAAATTGTGGGATAGCAATACGACAGTCTCTGTGGGTTTCGCTATTGTTGGTCCAACAAGGCTACTTACCGTCATTTGGTGTCATGACCACAAGCAGCAATAACAGGACTACCAGACCCAAAACTGAATAAACGATAAAAATAATTTCACGATAATGGTCCCAGAAAAACAAGAGAACAGACAAGTTTGCAATGTGATGCACAGGCACTTAATATTGCCCCAGCGTAAGTTGTGATCAATTTTATGAATTGTGAATGTCGGCCTTTAAGATACTTACATTGGAACATTTTTGTTTAATTTTTTTCTGGGTTTTTGGGACTTGGACTTGGTTCAACCGTAGACTTGGTTCAACCAGTCCATATGGTAGTGGAGCCACTGCCCACTGTTCAATGACAGGATGGTACGGACGATCTAGCATCCTTAACCTAACAGTTCACAATACATTCGAGTCTTGGGCCTGATTGGCTTATAAAGCTGAATTTATAATTGATTTTAGCTATTGGCCAATCGGATTACTAGGATACCAAAATCATTCTAAATTAAGTTTTGTGAAACAGACCCCTGCTGAACAAAGTTAAATTAAATACCTACCGAATGATAAATACTTGTAACCATCGCCATCAGTCGTTTCTCTTTGAATATTCTCTGTTTTCCCGATATCGGATGTGACGTTTTCCTTCTGAGTGTCGAGTGCTTTGGCTCCAGTTTCGTCAATTTTATCATCTTTCAATTCCGATGTACCTAAAACTTCTTCAGAAGTACGCCTTATAATTGGAGAGGCTTCCACTATAGGTGAAGGCTTGGGTGAGTTTGCTGCAGTTAGTTCGGACAACTCCATCTCCTTTGGACGATTGGTGGCCACAATGTCGGGAACAGCATCTAGGCCTACAACAGAAAATACTATAAATGCATCAGGGTTATTTTTATGGTTCTTACATGGAAATAACACAAACGAACGCATTCGGCAATTCTCGGTAGCTTCCGTAAGCTGAATCCTGCCAAGCGCTAGCAAATGTTACGGAGGCCTTTTGAAACGGGAGTACGGCCATTTTGAATCTCTACCTCGAGGAATTTTAAAAAAGGGTATAATATTTTAACAAGGCATTCGAATCACATTCGTGTGTGGTATTTTATTTCCATGTAAGGACCATACGTAGTTCGTATGGATATTTAAGGTGCAACGAGCATTGTAGAAGGAATCATCACCCAAACGGTTTTTCTGACCCTAAAAAATCTATTGGCTACCAGGTGTTTGTTGCATATAATGAGCAGCAATGACGGGTGTGGTATGGGTGTGGGTATGCTTACTCTTTTTGACAAATTGACGTACCTGATCCAGAGATAGATACGTTTTCTTCGCTTAAGAACCTCTCTATTGTGAATTGGTCATCTTCCTTGACATATGGTCCGATATCTCTTGCTATTTTGGCACCAGGTCGCTTCTTGATGGTTCTTGGCTCATACTTCTTCGATGTTCTTCTGTGACGATCAGAGCAGGTACATTGGAATTTACCGTTGTCTATTGTAAAGCCAAATCTGATTTTCTTCTCAACTTCAGGGTACAGATCTTGAAGAGCGTTAATGAAGCCGTCTCGTGCCTCGGACATTTCTGGTGTCTTTTGTCGAAGAGATTGCCATCTTTCAGTTTCAGAAACGGCATCATTCACCAAATATTTATACTCCATCAAATTTAACGACCGGTTTGAATACATATGGTCGGCTAGGTTTCTCACGTCGGTACTATTGCAAACATAGCAGAATTGACAACATTTGGTTTTGGCGCTTCGTTTTGCAACTTCATACTTTCTTTTCAGCTCTTCGTGCAACCAGTCAAGCTGTTCATCGCCGTTCAGAACACCAAGGAATGCTTCAAATGTAGATGGTGGTTTCCTCTCTAGAATAATCGCCAAGCGTCTTGTTTTTCTAGCATCTGTCTTTTGCCCCTGAACCGATTGTAGTTCGTCGCCATCAATTGCGTGTCTGGCATAAAGCTCATCCACGATATATTTTGTGTCTAAATTGTCCTTCAAATCCAACAAACTTTTTCTTACCACATATTTGTGAGGAGCCTCTGTAAAACAAAAATTAATGTTGAAATAGTATTTATCAAAACCAAATAGCACTTGGTATTAACCCTGAAATTGTTAGCATAAATAATCATTAGCAAGACATCGGAATTTCGTCAAGTAACAGGTTCAAATTCTGATACATATTAAGGGTTTTTCCCAGTTTACAAAAGGGCCGCAACTCGTAAGCAAAAGGATTCGATTCATCGCCCATTTCGTCCAACCAATGACAGATCCAATATCTAAAAGCAAGAAGAGGGACAGAGTGAAGCAATATATCCGGAGGGGCAAGTACTATATCCGGAAGTTCAAGTACTATATCCGGGGCGGCAAGTACTATATCCGGAGGAGCAAGTAATATATCTGGGGGGGGGGGGGGGGGGGGGGGGGGGGGAATTTTTTTTCAAAGGGGGGAAA